CTTTGGTGCGGTGAAGTTGTCCTGTCCCCTTAGCAGAAAAACACGCATAAAGCATGTTTCCACCTCCATGTTTGACGGTGGGGATGGTGTTCTTGGGGTCATAGGCAGCATTCCTCCTCCTCCAAACACGGCGAGTTGAGTTGATGCCGAAGAGCTCCATTTTGGTCTCATCTGACCACAACACTTTCACCCAGTTGTCCGCTAAATCATTCAGATGTTCATTGGCAAACTTCAGACGGGCATGTATATGTGCTTTCTTGAGCAGGGGGACCTTGCGGGCGCTGCAGGATTTCAGTCCTTCACGGCGTAGTGTGTTACCAATTGTTTTCTTGGTGACTATGGTCCCAGCTGCCTTGAGATCATTGACAAGATCATCCCGTGTAGTTCTGGGCTGATTCCTCACCGTTCTCATGATCATTGCAACTCCACGAGGTGAGATCTTGAATGGAGCCCCAGGCCGAGGGAGATTGACAGTTTTTGTGTTTTTTCCATTTGTGAATAATCGCACCAACTGTTGTCACCTTCTCACCAAGCTGCTTGGCAATGGTCTTGTAGCCCATTCCAGCCTTGTGTAGGTCTACAATCTTGTCCCTGACATCCTTGGAGAGCTGTTTGGTCTTGGCCATGGTGGAGAGTTTGGAATCTGATTGATTGCTTCTGTGGACAGGTGTATTTTATACAGGTAACAAGCTGATATTAGGAGCACTCCCTTTAAGAGTGTGCTCCTAAACTCAGCTCGTTACCTGTATAAAAGACACCTGGGAGCCAGAAATCCTTCTGATTGAGAGGGGGTCAAATACTTATTTCCCTCATTAAAATGCAAATCAATTGATAACATTTTTGACATGCATTCTTATGGATGTTGTTGTTGTTATTCTGTGTCTCACTGTTCAAATAAACCTACCATTAAAGTGATAGACTGATAATTTCTTTGTCAGTGGGCAAACGTACAAAATCAACAGGGGATCAAATACTTATTTCCTTCAATGTATGCATGTGCATTCATCCAGCAGTGGCTAGTGAATGGCCGTTGATCATTATGTTGTGTTCAAAGACAGTGGAGTGTTATCTGAAGACACATTCAGTTATGGCAGCGTATGATATTAAATTCTAGCTGCAGCTGTCATACAACGGCATTCTATATTTAACTCTGGGGTGTGCTGCAACCCATATCTATAAAGATCCCCTATGTGCAAATACGTATTGGGTGATGTTCATCTCTATTGGTAGTCCTAATCCAGTCGTTGAAATTCCAACTTCTGGTCTCTAAGAAAATACACATTCATTTCCCACCAAACGGTGAAGTCTCTGGTGGTACTCACTTTACCAACCCTAGATGGATTATGGGCTAAGCCTGGATGGTTATTGAACTGATGAATGGCAGCCTGCTGCTCTTCCAGCTGAGCTGTGCCCTGACCATACCCATTATAAAATCAATCTTAAATATCACCTTCCTAATCTTTCAAACTTTTTATTTCATTAGCATGCACAATAAGTGTTATATTAAATCCTAGCTGCAGCTGTCATATAACGTGAAGCACTATAAGTGCATGCATTGCAATTTAGCATGATGAGTAGCTCAGAGTCATTACATGAATCCAGAAAATATCTGGAATATTGATCTTACAAACTGCACGAATCAATCCCCAGTTTTGCAGTTTTTTTTTAAATCTGTAGCAAGTTAGGCAACGTCCGTTACAGGTATTGACAGCTCCTTCAAAACACTGTTACAATATTCCGTGTGAAAAAAAAATCTACGGAAACTAAACTAGTAGCAAAAAAGTAAAGTGTCGAAACCTGAGAAGTAATACATTTTAGTCCTGGGTGCCAGCCGGTGGTGGCACAGTGGCTACTGCACTTCACTACAAAGCCAGAAACCAGAATTCAATGTCTGGACGTAACTAACATCCTTGGCGGGCGTTATCTGGACTGAACCTGGACATTCCCAAGGTTGACTCGGCCGGAAATGAGCACCTGGTGGTACAGTGTATGAATATCAGTATCGTGCTGCCATTCAGGCCCTGGCAGGTGATTGCTGACTACACATGCTCAAACAGTCTATAAGGACATATGAGGGATCTTTGTCTTTGTTTACTTTCAAGATTGTACGTGGTGGAAGTGAAAAGGAAAGCCATGCTAAATGAGATAATTGATCAGGAATTGAGGAAGCCAATGCAGTTACCTGGAGCTCTTTACTAATTAAAGTGGTATCTTGCCTTTCTGTTGGCAACCCACGTGTTTGCGGTTGCGCCATGTGTTTTCAGGTTGCGATTTGTCAATTTAGTTCCCCGATAATATTGCAGCATGCTGATGGACATACAGTACAACACGAAAGCACATCAGACAGCTATTGTATACCGGAACCAAAAAGAAAAGAAAGTGTTGCTCTTTTGTTCACAATCTGAAAATCCATGGTCACATGATGAGCTGTTAGTGTAACAGCAAATATAAAAATGCGGGCCAATGAGGTGTAGAGCGTGTGAGTGCGCTGTCGCGTGCGGTCACTGAAGCCATGGTTACACAGCTTCTCCTTGAGGTACGTCGGGTGGTTCAGGATATTCTTCACTGCCAGCGGTCCATAGCATTAGACAGGTTCCACTGTGATGTTGATGACAGTGTAGGCTTTTAGCATGGCATCGCATGCCAATATTTCATTAGTGTGACAGAATTCGTTCGGCTGTGTTACTGCTAAAAGCCACCACTGGCTTAATGTCATGTGCGGTTTGGGCGACAGAAAAAAAACCTAATTAAAAGCATTATACAAAAAAATGTCTTCATATTGCTCAGGGTCAGCAGAACAGCGAAATATGTCAGGGCATACGGATCTATTTCCAATTAGAACAAGACCTTTAAAATGAGCCGTTGCTCGTCAAAGTTGCTCCCGCAGCTTAGCGTTCGTTAGTTTCAGACAGAAAAAATAAAGATCCAAAGTTAGGCCGAGATACGAGCAGATCAGCATCCTAATAAAGACACAGCCTTGATTCCCACTCATGCACTCACGTCATACAAACACAATTGCCTGCCGCCTTTGACATTCTTCTTCATTATAATGCATCATCGTGGGCCCCTTGACCAGGAATTCAGTATGTTACAACCCCTCGTGAGCCGTGGGCAAACATTAATTGACATTTTATTTCCCAAAAAGAATACAGGGAACTGTAAGGCTGCAACTATATTTTTCAATCATTTTCTGTACCAGATTATTCAATAATTGTCTTATCTGTACTATAGAAAAACAATAAGAATAATAATGTTTATTAAAATATGTGTTATAGTTGTGGTTGTAAATGTACTTTTTTTTTACAAATGATTATACTACGTAAATGTATATATAATTGTTTTTTTTACAACACAGCTTCACTGGATAATAATTAAAATTCTGTTTCAAAAAAACTAAAATAAAAAATACGACTTCCATGAAAACACAATAAACAACATATCTAGCATTTAATTAAGGGGAAAAACCCACATGCACATGTCATTGGTAATTTTACAATTTATGTTCATTTCTGTGTCTTTGGCTAAGGTCAGACATTCAAGAGCCGCTGTTAAGCTGTCAAAATGTTTTCATGTCCAACTCAACACTATGCTCGCCACTTCTTGCCACTGTCAACAATGCCTTTCTGTTTGTCGATTTAAAGTGCTCCTTGACTATGGATCAAAGCGCACACCATTCCTGCAATAAACACAACGTTCAACCAGTGGGCTCTCTGGGCAATAGTTTGAGGAATTAAAAAAAAACACGATTCCAAAATGTTATTTTTGGGGTCAGATCGTGTGGGTAAAATGCCACTCAACAAATGCCACTGTCTGTCAATCACCCTCCACCACCTGACACAGCCAAATAAATAACCGCGTCAATTTGTTTTCCATTGTGATGAAAATAACATCCACCTTACATTTGACCAGTTTTGGATAATGTGAACGGGAGCTATTAGCTCAGTGGGCTTTAACTGGTAAATAAAAAAAGTTTAGTTTTTACTAATTCATTGTGTGTTATGGTGGAGCATCACGTGCAATAACATATATCAACAGATCTCCATCCTGCCTCCCCGCATATAAATATACTCATCGGCATATTGGCTTTCCAAACCAATATTGTCTGAAAAGCTCATAGGTGAGACATTTCAAATAAAAGCCTTTCTTGTGACCTAAGCTGACCAACCCTGGCGTGAAGTGAACTGCGGGCAGCTGGCAACAGCAGCAACTTACATCTCAGAGCGCAGAATTACAAACTAAAAACGAGAGAGAATCAAAGGGACCAAGCCAAGAAAGAATTCACTCACCCAATTACTCACTCACTCACTCATCCAGGAACGACTGAGCAAGGGATGTAGAGAAAGGAAGCAACTCACCCACTCACTCACCGGGAAGTAACGGGTTGGACCGAGCAAAGGAATGAGAGCACGGAAGCGATTCACTCACCCACTCACTCACTCACTCACCCGGGAGTGACTACGATGATGAATGAGAGAAAGGAAGCGATATTAAGACGTCCGAAGGCACGGAGTTGAAGAGGAAGGTGTTGAGGTGACACTTGAAGGCAGCGAGAGAGAGAGAGAGGATGTGGACCATGTGACGTTGCCTGGTGCATTGGTTTCCAGTTGCAGAATGAATACATTGTAAGGCCGCACTCATTAGACACAAAGCGCCTTGCCACGAATGATCTGCTGATCTCGTCAAGGAGCATAAACCATCACGTGAACCCTGGTCATCCTCGCAGCAGCCTTTGGCTGGCCATCGAATGAAGACGATCACCGCATCGTGCGGCGCTTTCAGATGCGCTTCTGCGGCCTTCTGGAACACTCTTCCTCGTGATTTTAGGAAGCCACCAGAACTATGCACTTTCAAATCTCGATTGGAAACTAATTTCTTGAAAATTGCTTTTTGTATTTGGTTTGTCGTCCTTCCCCCGCACCTCCGATCATTTACGGTTGGCTACGTACGGTGCAAAAGAAGTTCAACACACACACGTGCATACACAGGGGTGGCTGACTCACCAGCAGCAGTGTCGGTCGTGTTCTCGTACAGCTCCGTCGTCGCCTGACCGTTGGGCCTCTCGCTCGCCTTGTGGGACAGCTTCTGGGTGGCGGAGGCGGCCGTCACCACGGCTTTGAAGCTGCGCTTGCGCTTCTGCACGTTGAGCTCCGGCCTCAGGAGCACGATGTACACCTTGGGGCAGAAGAGCATCCCCAGCGAAACGGAGGCGCTGAGGCTCATGGCGATGGTGAGCGTGGTCGTCTGGATGCCCAGCTTCACACGCGCGCACGGGCGGGGGAGAAAGGAAGAGGGGCGGACAGAGAAGATGACAAGTTCAATGGGTTAACAAGAAATGTGTGCAACGGGTAAGTTCGCTCGAGGCTGAGTGAGAGCGATTGGAGGTGGCATTTCAATGTCTGAGATAGAGGTGAAGAAGTAATAGGTGGAATAGATAAAGGGGCAGCCCTGCAATTGCTTGCTTATGCCACTGCTGCTGAAGGGCTTCCACTACAGGGAGCTCTAAAAGAGCCCCTTCCAGAAGGTATGTGGCCTACTCTGGCACACTGCTCATATGTCTCAGTGGAGGCCAGGGAGGGCCTAGTATTTACCCCACCAAATGCGGCCTGCAAGTCGACTGAATGTGGTGAACCCATTTATACTGCTCGGTGGACAGAGAGGGGGGATTTTAAGATACTTTTCCATTTATTACTGCCACGCTGGGTGATACGTTGTATCAATTTATTCATAACTTAAAGCTCACCAAAATCAAATTACTTTGGAAATATTTTTTTTATTCATATAAGATACACCTCTTCTCTATTTTTTTCATCTCATTTGTGCAGTTTTGGTTACAATTAGCATACATGTAATATTTGTGTATAATTTGCACAAATCACACGTATTCTACATTATTTTAAGGAAAGCGGCATAGATTGCCATGACACTTGTGCACAATGGCCCTGCATTAAATGTTCTGCATCTGGGGGGGGGGGGGGAAATCAATAAAATAAACCAAAGTTCCCAATAAATTCACACGATGGAAAAAGGGTTCACCAAGCTTTGAGAATAGCTGTACATTATATTTGCTGTACTGTAATATACTGGTTACCTTTACATTGCAGGTTGTATTAGCCATGTAAGAGACTATCCATACACAATATATAAATCAGTCTTCAGAGCGAAATAACAGCCCGCTGATTTATGTCACATTTTAGAGGGAAGCTTGCATGCAAATATATTTGGAGTTTGCATGTTCTCCCTGTGGTTGGATGGGTTTTAGAATATTTGGCTGATATTAATTTCCACGTGATAAACAACTTCGTTGGAGCTATCATTTGTGATCACCTGGTCGCTTCTGAAAAAGAGCAATATCGCTCAGTGGGCCTTACCTTGTAAAATAAAATAAAAATAGTTTAGCTTAGAATACTCACAGGTATTCCAAGACATCTGGCGAGTGTGGAAGAGTAGGCAAAAATAGTACCTCTCTCTCTCTTACCTTTACATTGCAGGTTGTATTAGCCAGAGAGAGAGAGAGAGTGTGGCTGTCTAGAGCTCATTCTAGAGTGGCTCTCTGGAGACCTTTGTGCCAGCAGTGACATGATGAGTATATGTGTGTGTGTACAGAGAGAGACACGGGTACTCATCATGCACAGCGGCTGTGAGAGATGCACAGACAGACGCGGGCACCGTGAGAAGCAGAGGAAGAGTCAGGGTGAGAACATTTTACATTCATTACACAAAATGATGACGGGGAAAGATTACCATTTAACGGGATGGCTTCTGCGACCGGCATTACGAATCACAACGCAGTCGTGATGGCGGTGTGGGCTCTTGTGAGGATGCCATCAAGGCAATGCGCCCCCAATGACACGACAATGAAAATAATAAAATAATTGCGATGTAAAGTGCTGTAACGTTCAAGCGCACATTCCAGCAAATACGTGTGAATTTGAAGCAATCGTGAAAGTATAACACGAGATTTTTTTTTTACGTGTGTATGCTCAAATTATTTTGCACCGTACGTAACCAACCGTGCTAGTGGGGGAGTGAATGTGATCGGCAGGACTGCGCCCTTGCGTGTTTTACGTGTCGTGGTTGGGCGTCAGTAATCCCGGGTTGATGGAACCCCCACAAAACTTTTTTACCTAAAGAACGGTAGGCCATAATCCTGAAGCAGTGCAGCAATTCGGTGCTTGACCTACTTGTGTGTTGTTGGGTTATCCCCTGGCAATGGCGGTGTTCAGTTAGGAGCTTCTTCTCGCACAAAAGAGGTGTCCCCGACGCGATCTCGGGGTGTGCCGCAACGTTGTTCGGCACCATTGCCCGCCGCGTCCGCGCTTCTTGAGGGAGCTCAAAGCGCGGGAAGCGAAACGTGCCAAAGGGTACGGCGGTGCAACTCGTGAACACTTAGGTGGAGCCGTACTTACGTGACGCGACCATCAAAACACGACCCAGCCTTATTTTGCCACAAGAGGAATCTCTTAAACAGCCCAAAGCAGGGCCCTCCTAAGCAGTTGTGAAACTGAGCGAGGCTTTCCTGAACTACCATCAACATGAGTTGATAAAACATTTCAATGGTGAAGGATTATCGCCAACACCCCCCCCCCCCAAAAAAAAAGAGGTACGTATTTATAAGAGACGTTACGAATGCGGCACCAAGTAAGGAGTGCAGACCGTAAGGTCATTGCCGACATTGGGAACATTGGAAGGTGACATAAAGCGCCCCCCACACCCCCCCCCCCCCATTATTGTGTGGTGATGCATGTAGAGAAAGAGAGAGAAACGCAGGGGTTTCCAGGAGCACACATAGTGGGCAGGAGAATCGAGGAGGAGATTGGTTCACGGGGCTGGGCAAAGAACGAGGCCGTGACATTTTCCGACGTGAATAACTTTTACAAGTGAATGGCTCTTACGTGAAACAGTTGGTGCGCAAGTGAGCTTCCGATTGAATCTTCTGCGGTGGGGAACACTCTTCTCACAAGCCTCGCGGAGAGTATTACAAACAATCGGAGCTGTAACGTAACTACTCTCCTTCGTCGTTTTGTTTCTCTGCGGAGATTCTCATCGGGCCTTCCCGCTAATGTGCCGCAGTATGGAGTCTTCGACGGGGCCTTCTTACTTGCAAGTATAATGACCCCCCCCCCCCCCTGACCTTTTTCAGGCCAGTGCCGCGTAGGCCTTGTGCCACACAGTGCCAGCTGCCACCGGGGGTCCCCTTGTCAAGACTACAGTAGGGCGATGGCATGGTTGAGGTGAGACGTGATGCAAAGCCGCTTTGGGATGCCGAGGTAAATGCAAATGCTCATCGGCGGCTCGGCTTTGGCGAGCGAGGCAGTGCGGGTTGGTGGTTGGTGGTGGGCGGTCGTGCTGGTTGGCTGGGGCACTGAGACGGCTGGAAAGTTATTCCTCTCATTGCCAGGCTTGCTCTTGGTCTCGACTGATTCTTGGATTCTCCTTGGCTGTCCGTTGCCATTGTGAGTGTACGTTGCGTTCTTATTTATCCCCAGGTCGAGGATGTCCTGTCCTCATTATGGTTTCATGTCTCATTGTTTTCTCATGCTGTGTTTTCGCTTCTCTTTGCCCTGGCTATTTAGTGTATTTTTATTGATTATGTTTTGTTTGTAGCTTGTATATGCTGCGGCATTTCAAACAACAAATGCATTGCAAATCCTTACTTATTCTACCTGAGGAGCATTGCTACCCACTCCCAGTGTTTCATTGAGCAGGGACGAATGTGCCTTTGACTTGTTAATATCTGAAGTTGATGTTGATACCTGAACACGGCAAGCAGCGACGTACTCAAAGCTGCGTGTCTTTATTTTTCGTCTCTAAGCCAGCCGTTCAATTGGCTTGTTTGTGATTACGAAGCGTGCCTGGTATATCTCTTTTTGGCTGCTTCCCCAACACCTGCAGCTCGCTGCTGGAGATACGAATTGTTTGCCTGCAATCGTACGTTCAGTGGGGTTGGCGAGTGAGGTCAAGCAGAGAAAACACTCGGGAAGATAACAAGTCCAATCAGACCCACGTGCACACACATATACGTGCAGCAGCAGCAGCATCAGCTGCTTTCCATCTTACGCTGCATGCGGACAACAAAATCAAGATCCAGAATCACATCTCGACAAAATTCCCGAAACACATCGCCTTGGCGATTTGCCCCGTTGATGTTGTTGATAAGGTAGTACACTTTGGCATATGTCAGCAAAAAGGCAGACAAAAGTGAATATTCACCAACAAATGAATTGCGCTTTTGATATCCAGAGCACTGAAGTTCCACATTAGGCTCACACACATGATACATCCATAATTTAGACAACATTTGGTTTATCTTGTCAAGAAGTATTTTTTCCCCATTAAAGTACTGCTTCATGTTCACATTTCTCAGCAAGCCGGTACAGTATTATCAGCGAATTTGATAAGAGTGTATAATTAGGGCAGGGGAAAAAAGTGAACCAATATTTTTCGCATGAATTTGTCGTTAAAACTTGTAATATATCCCCATCCTTATTTCATTTTTTATTAACAGGATTGCAATGATTTTTTCCCTTTCTGTTGCAGTTCACGAAATTTCGTTGCAAGATATTACAATCACGATGCTCACAATCTTGCTAAAAAAAACAATAACACATTCCTTTAACATCTATAAGGCAAAGTAAAAGGAACTAAAATATTTCCTAAACCCAGTGGAGCATGGGGAAGTGTTCAGCTCCATCGGTGTATGCAAGTCGGTGATGGATATTCCACATTTCTATGGCAGAGGCCAGTCCCTCCATAAGATGACCACTGATAACGTTCCACAATAAGGCATTCGTTTAACAGTGGGTACGAAAAACCAATCTTCCATGGAGTAGCGTAGAGTAAGTGATGTCGAACATTTAACGGCTGAGTGACAATGGGAGGCAAGGATACTTGGAATATTTTGCCAGGACACACTTTGCATTTCGTCGCATTAAACCCCGAAGCCAGGAATGTCCCCCGCGGTGTCGCATACTCGTCTCCCACTGTCCCCTGCCGTGCTTCCTCCTTGCACGCTCGTGGCATGAGAATGAATTGTTGCCCAAGTGTGCATTGCTTACAGCAGATGAAAGCCACTGGCCTGGAATCCAGCTGTTAAATGTGATGGCCAGGGCACACGTCTCTCCGCATGCTTGGCATTTGTAATGTTGGACAGGAGGGAAAATGACCTTCTTTGTCTCATAGCAAAAACATATTCTTCAATGACACTGCCCGAAAAGACAAAAAAAGAAATATAAATAAATAGTTTTTTTTATAGAAATACATAACATATAAATACATAAAATACATACGATAGAACCTCTCCCTCTGCTCCAAAAAGAGGGCCATTTCCCAAAACGTGTTTTTCCTTTTGTGGCAGTTTTATTGATTTATTTTTCGCGAGTTAGTGTTATTTATACCTGTGCACCAGTGACAGTGGAGAATCACATTGATGTTTGTGCTGTGTCTCACGGTTAGCTTGATCGACATTGTGTGGCCATTTGAAATGTTTTGAAGCAGTGGGAAAGTGTAGATGTGTGCGTAAGTGGACATTTAAAATTCTCCACTTATGCGCAGCATATAAAAAAAACCAGAGAGATGATTATAATGGTGTTGTCATTGTTAAGTGGCATGCCAGTAAATCTCGACAGGATACATATCAGGCATTGTATGACTTTGTCCGTACATATTTGGTAAGCTGCCCAAGAACGGGCTCTACCGAATGCGCTATGTATAAACTACTGTGAATAAGAAGCATCAATGTGCAATTTCGGTGACTACACTATAGACTTTACTGTAGTTACCAGGGTATTTAAAATGCTGTATCTTATCTCATCTTATTTTATACTGATAGAGCACCTTAGCTCAGGGCGCTTTACGCAGTTTAAAAGCAGTAACAACAACAGAATGGTTCAGACGATAAAGGCAGTGCAAGGGCCGGAGAATGAGTGACCGTAACAGAGACCACGTGGGGGTCATGAATGGGCTACAGGGGGGGATGGGACGGAGTGGAGGGGCGAGGGGAGGAAAGAGGAAGAGAATGGGCGATGAAGAAGAGGCGAGGATTTCATAGAGGAACAGAATGAGGTTAAGGAGGAGGATTTCTTCATGTACAGGGGCAGTGTTGAGTCTATGGGCAGTGTTGAGTCTACGGGCAGTGTTGAGTCTGTGGGCAGCGCTACTCAATGTACATGCGAAGTGTATTCCAGTGGTAGGGTGAAATGAGGCAGAACGACTGAAAACGGCCTTGGGCACAGGGAGGAGGAGGAGGGACAAAGAGAAGACAGAGCGATGATTGTGAACGAAGAGCATGAGGGGGCGGACGTAAAAAAGAGATGAGCGAGGCGAGATGAGGTGGGACAAGGCCATGGGGAGATTTAGACGAGTGCAAGTTATTTGAAAAGACAGCGATTGTAAACGGGAAGCCAGTCAAGTTGACGAAGGAGGGGCGAAGTATGAGAAGCATCACTACTCTAAACCGTATAACACATAAAAATAATGAAAAACTATGGAGAAGGCCACACAGCGTAGGGAGGGTAGTCAATAATGCAGAACCATCCAATAAAAAAATGGGTCGTACACGATAAAACGGTGCAATAAATATGAATGTGGCACCTTCAACACCATGTTCTTATCACGCTTCAACGATCATTGCAGAGCATAAGCCACGCAAAATATGGTGGAGATGAGTGTACGTACATAACTCAATTTGACGTAATAAGTTTACGTGTTCAGTTGTTTGGAATGGTAATCATCAGCCAAACTACCCTAATTGGACAATGGCAAAAAAATACATCCGTTCTTCTTATTTGGTGCAGGAAGAATTCAGTAATTTCAATGTAAACGAAAGTGAAGATTTTGGTATTTTTTGATGGAGAGATGCAGTCTCAGTACAGCCAAACACTTTACTACCAGTATCTTGAAGCAAATACATAAGCCAGTGCTTCTCCTCAGGTAGGAGGCTGAATAACCACCATGCTGGATCGCCCTTGATTGTCATGGTCTCGGACGATTTTAAATCGGGTGACTAATTTGTCGACCCGCTGCAACATGCGCTTAACAAATTGAATGGCAAGTATATTTAGCATCGCTCTTATCAGTCACGATGAACGCACACGATTGTTTTTTATACCTCTTGTTTTGCAACTGAACAAAACAGATCTCAGGCGAAAACTTGGTAAAACATTGTACCAGTGAACTTTGTAAGGTTAAACGTGACATTTGAATTAAATTGGCACCACTTTTGTCGTGAGTGAAGCACTAACTTTTCAAGTCATTGCCCAGCCTTGACATTTGTTAACAGAAGGCAGACATACAAAAGGTTAATTAAACATACCGTAACTGATGTTAGTTTAACTCGTAGGCTTTCACGACCAAAAAAACCTCTATTATGGACGTAACTGATGTTGCTTTATATGTGCATGCGAAGGTATTAAGGAATGAGGTAACAAGTCTGGCTCATGCATGAAACGGAGAAGAATGGGTGAATGAACTCATGTACAATATAATATGAAATGCATACTTCTTATAATGACTTTCACCATACATACACACGTATGTATGTACGTGTGTATGTATGGTTGAGCACCAATTGAGACGAGGCTCAAAAGAAAGCCGTCTGTGGTGTGGACCAATCAGTTTCAAGGACAATGCATATATTATCAGTGTGTTTTTTGTTTGCATTTTGACCACAAGTATTGTGGTTAACGCACACATTATTCCTTGTAAAACGGTTTCAGTTTTGTTGCCAGAAAAAAGGGGAAAACCTCTATTCATAATAATTGTACTTTTAGTTAATCATATCCTATCTATATCTAACAATGTAATAACATGCAAAATAAAGTTTTAAGTATAAGACTAGAATTATTGGCATTTTTTTTTTGTATCGGACCTTGAAAACATATCGACTGACCTGAAAAAAAACACTCAACACAAAAGTACCGCTCGTATATCCTGAGACTGAGCCATTTAACGCAACATCAGAATCTCTCAGACTCTGGTTCTGGATGAGAATGAATGCGAATGGCAGTGATAAAGGGTCAATTTCATTGCCAAGAGATTCGTTGTCGTGACACAAGTGGACATGCAGGAAAGCATGCCGCTTATAATGAGGGATACAGTTTTGTTACAAGGCGCGTGTGACATTTGCATTCTCCGACGTGGCAATTGTTGAGTACATAATTCCCAGTACAAGTCATGGATACGTACAATATGCAAGCCAATCCATGTAGATATTAACACTAATTAATGG